TGTCATATGCGCCTGTGGCAGGCTGAACTTTTTCAGTTGACGGACAAAGGAAGTACAACCCTCTGCTGAGCCTTTTTCACGATGGAGTCAATGTGAGTGTCCCACTTCAGGTCCTGAGAGATGGTGGTTCCCAGGAATCTGAATGACTCCACTGCAGCCGCAGTGCTGTTCATGATGGGGAGTGGGGGGAGTGCAGGAGGGTTTCTCCTGAAGTCTACTATCATCTCTACAGTTTTGAGCATGTTCCGCTCCATGTTGTTGTGACTGCACCAGACAGCCAGCTGCTCAACCTTCTGTCTGCAAGCAGACTCGTCGCCGTCTTGGATGAGGCCGATGACTGTAGTCATCTGCAAACTTCAGGAGTTTGACTGAGGGGTCTTTAGAGGTGCAGTCATTTGTGTAGAGGGAGAAAAGCAGTGGGGAGAGAACGCAGCTCTGAGGAGCTCCAGTGCTGATGGTGCGGGTGTTGGATGCGAGTTTTCCCATCCTCACTAGCTGCTGCCTGTCTGTAAGGAAGCTGGTGATCCACTGACAGATGGAGGTGGGCACAGAGAGCTGGGTCAGTTTATTCTGAAGGGTGTCTGGTATGATGGTGTTGAAAGCGGGGCTGAAGTCCACAAACCAGATCCTTGCATAAGTCCCTGGTTTGTACAGATGTTGCAGGATGTAGTGCAGTCCCATATTGACTGCATCATCCACAGACCTGTTTGCTCGGTAAGCACCAGTCTCTCAAATGACTTCATCACCACAGACGTTAAAGCAACAGGTCTGTAGTCATTAAATCCTGTGATTTTTGGTTTCTTGGGTACAGGGATGATGGTGGAGCATTTGAAGCAGGAGGGGACTTCACACAGCTCCAGTGATCTGTTGAAGATCAATGTGACGATGGATGATATCTGGACAGCACAGGCTTTGAGGCAGGCTGGAGAGACACCGTCTGGGCCTTTGGCTTTCCTTATCTTCTGTCTCCTGAAGACTTTGCTTACATCGTCTTCACAGATCTTTAGTACAGGTTGAGAAACCGTAGGGGGGAGGGTGTTGATGGCTGTGCTGTGAGACGGTCGGAGTGTGTGTGGGGTTTCAGACCAGGCTATTGCTTTTCAAACTTGCAGTAAAACTCGTTCAAGTCTTCAGCCAGGTGTTGATTGGCCTCAGTGCTGAGGGATGGGGTCTTGTAGCTGGTGATGGCTTTCAGGCTTTTCCACACTGATGTAGGATCGTTGCTTGAAAGCTGTTTTTTAGCTTTCCAGAGTAGTTTACCTTTGTCACTCTTATCTCCCTTTTTAGTGTGTATTTGGCCTGTTTGTACCAGTCTTTGTCCCCACTCCTGTAGGCATCCTCTCTGGCCTGGCGAAGCTGTTTGAGTTTTGTACTGAACCAAGGTTTTTCGTTGTTAAATAAGTCCTGGTGGGTACACACATGTCCTCACAGAAACTAAGCTCATCCAGATCTGTAGCTGCAGCCTCAAAAACACTCCAATCAGTAAGTTCGAAGCAGGCCTGTAAATCCTGCTCTGCTTCAACGGTCCATGTCTTTACAGTTTTTACTACAGGCTTAGCAGATTTGAGTTTCTGCCTGTAGGCTGGTAGAAGATGAACCAAACAGTGATCAGAGAGTCCCAGCACTGCTCGGGGGACAGAGTGGTATGCATCCTTTAAAACAGTGTAGCTGTAGTCCAGTATATTGCTGTCTCTGGTGGGGCACGGGATGTGCTGTCTATATTTAGGCAGTTCACGGGTGAGATTAGTTTTATTAAAATCTCCGAGAATGATAATGAAAGAGTCCGGATAACGCTGCTCTGTGTGTGTAATTTGATCGGCCAACAGTTCTAGCACCGCGTTCACTCGCGCGTCAGGAAGAATGTACGCACTCACCAGAATAAACGAGGAGAACTCCCGCGGCAAATAAAAAGTCTTACAGTTAATAAAGAGAGCTTCCAAGTTTGGGCAGCACATCTTCTTTAAAACTGTCACGTCTGTACTCCAGCCTTCATTGATATAAAAACATAATCCACCACCTCTCGTTTTCCCCGACGACTCGGTGACGTGGTCCTCTCTGAACAGCTGAGTTTGCCACATGCATAATGTCTCCATTATAAATAATTGGGAATCATGTAAAAAAATTACAATAAAATAAAAACTGCACATTTAATTGATCTATTATAACATTTATGTAGTTTTGTTCGCTTGGCTGTTTCCTTATAAAAGTCCAGAAATTTGTCAAGTTTTTCGTCAGGTGTCTTTTTTAGTTATATGATGTAATTTATGTTGCTCAATCCAGCCATACTAATTATAAACAACAGGTGCGTTCGAAGAACCGAATTAGCCAGATCCTGATTAGCACAGTGATATCATCTTGGATGTGACATTTCATCTCGGATGTAATAAGCGACGTACGAAGAACGGGCCCCTGGAGTGTTGTGGATTGTGATGTTTTTATCAGCTGTTTGGACTCTCATTCTGATGGCACCCATTCACTGCAGAGGATCCATTGGTGAGCAAGTGATGTGATGCTATGTTTCTCTAAATATGATGAAGAAACAAACACAACTACATCTTGGATGTCTTGAGGGTGGATACATTTTCAGCTAATTTTCACTGTTAGGTGAGCTATTCCTATGGTGTAAGGTTTAATTTGAAACAATTACAAAGAAACTGCAATTAACACCTCGAGTTAAACCTGACATTTTGAAGTAGAAAAAACTGAAATAGTATTTTCTTGTAAAACATACTCCAGTAATACTTTACAGTCTTGTTTATACCCCAAAACACTTTCAGTCCAGGAAATGTGACGCTGTGTAATCTTGTAAAGCCGCTTCAAACTCAAACAACCTTTTCTGCCCTTTTCTTGTACTCCCCTTCCTTTAACCCCAGTTTCAGACCTTTTGATTGGCTCAAACCTCACCAGTCCCGTGTCTCCATTACCGCTCTGGCTGGGCATCAGCCGTTGTGATGGCCGTCGGCCAGCAGCTACAGGTGGAGACTGTGTTGTCGAGCCGTTTGAAGAACAGAGCTCTCTTTATTCATCTGTTCCTCGGCTCACTCTCTCCCTACATCCATCACTGTCGCTAACATGCAGAATGAAACTCTCCACTGTTCGTTTGAACCCAAAGCTTTCTTTATTCAACCACTGAATGGACATGCATTAGACACATAAAGTGTCTATGAAGGCTTTGCACACTTATGAATTGTAGTTTGATTTGGTTGTTTTTACAACTCAATTTGGTGTCCGTTTAAAATGATTTCACCTGTAATTTTTTCACAAAACAAGATTCCAATTTCAAATAAATGCTGTTCTTTTGAACTTTGTTCATCAAAGAATCCTGAAAAACAAAATGCGTCAGTTTCCACAAAAATACTAAGCAGAACACTTGTTTTCAACATTGATAATAATCAGGAGTGAGCAGCAAATCAGCATATTAGAATGATTTCTGAAGGATCATGTGACCCTGAAGACTGAAGTAATGATGCTAGGAATTATATTTTAAAATGTATTCAAATAGAAAAGTTATTTTAAATTGTAATATTTAAAATGTTTACTGTAGTTTTGATCAAATAAATCCAGCCTTGGTGAGCTTAAGAGACTCAAACATTTTAAAACCTTATCGACCCTAAACTTGTTGCATTCAGTTTATTTAAAAAGAAGTGCATGCAAATGAAACCAAAGCTTTCTTCATTCATTTACAGAATTACAAGAACAGAAAGGACATGCATTATTTCAACATGTATATAAACAGTAGTTTGACTTTTTAAAATTCCTTTTGGTGTCACTCATTTCAAATAATTATTTCACCTTCAAATGGTAGTGAGATTGTTTGAAAGAACAGAAGCATTGTACTGGAACAAACAGTGTATTTTCTGACATCTCCAGAGAGTTTGTATCGGATCCTGCATCCCTTTGAGCTTCGTGCCGACAAACCGGTCAGGAAAGTCTAATTGCGCCAGTCACGTCACACATTGAGTGCTGTCGAACTCCCCGGGCTCATCTAATGAGAGGACCAGGGAAAGTTTGACTTGTATTCTTGAGGGCGAGTTTATTTGGCGTGTAGGAGAGTGGGGAGGTGTGCGTGTGATGTATTTTTAGCAGGAGCTGCTTCTGCAGTGCAGAGTGGTGCATTAACATTTGATCAGGGTGCAGGCAAGGGGACACATTTGAGGAAATAAGCCTGCGTTTTGGAAAATTCACTGCTCCACTTCTCTCCTCGGGGTATTAGAGTGTTTGTGAGGGGAAAATAGAGTTTCTTCCTCTTCCTCTCTCTCAATCCATCCCTTCTCCCCCCCCTTTAATCTTTAATTAAAGTCAGACAGCCAGTTCTTAATCCCAATTTACAGCAAATGCCCCACACTAACTAAAGCTGAAACACATCGGAGAGAAAAAACCTGATTGACAACCAGGAAATAGAAGCAAGTAAAGCAGAGAAGTGCAATTATGAATTTAAAATTCTCTCACTCCTTTATTTTTTATTTTTTTGGAAAGTCATTGCAAATGCCAAATAAGGAAAACTGACCTATTTTTGGGGCGAATCTGAGAAACTCTCTCAAGAAATCTGGGTCACATTATACCACAAATCAAAAGGAAAAATTCAGAAATTATATTTTCATAAAGGAAATTATGCCTATTTTAAGAATATTAAGACTTTGACATTTATTATAGATAGATATAATTAAACTCAAATTTTTTTGTAAAAAATAAATAAATAAAATCAGCATATTAGAATGATTTTTGAAGGATCATGTTACACTAAAGACTGGAGTACTGAGGCTGAAAATTCGGCTTTACATCACAGGAATAAATTACATTTTAAAATATATTCAAGTAGAAAACAGTTATTTTAAACCATAATAATATTTCATAATATTACAGATTTTTCTCATTTTAGAAATGCAGCCATGGTGAGCAGAAGAGGAAAACCCTTCTGAATCCAAAGTTTTCAGTGTTTCACTTATTTAAAAGAAAGCAATTAATTTAACACTTTAATTTGATTTCTGCTCCACTTTCAGTCTGAACACTCCTCCTGGAACCAAAGTGAAGCTCCTGGGGGCTGTTCAGGTTAAAAATGGCCTCCTGCTATTGGACGATTCCAAGATCACGGTTCTCGGAGGCGAAGTGGATCACATGATCGAGAAGTGGGAGTTTCAGAGGGTGAGGTGCATGTTTTCTCTCAAGCTTCATTATGAATATTTTCAGATAATATATATGATGTAGTTGTAAATGACACACAGTTGCAAACTGGATTTGTTTTTATTGCTTGTATGAAACGGAGATTCAATCTACCATGTATGTTCATATTTAATATCTCCTTAACTAGTCCAAAAATACCAAATTTGAATATCACCACCCACATTTATAAATAAACACGTTAGAATGAACCATCTTGACCCGCGCCAAATGAATTTAGCCAATCACAACAGAGGTAATTCTTAAATATGCCGTGGCACAAGCTGTTTAATTCTGAGTGTCAGGGAGTTGGTGTAAAACATGAAACTACACTAATTTACAATTGTTTTTACCACTGGAAACCTTCACTGACATTATAAGTGGGCTCTAGGGAAAAAATTAAGAGATGTAAAATGTGAACCCTTTAAAGGTTCTATTCATTAAAACTTAAGACACAGAAGCCTCAGTGTCTGTAACCATCTGTTAATATTCATCATGTTTTGGCTCAGTGATGGATGACACATTGGCAGATAGCATGAAGACGCACTGCTTTATTCATCTTGATGAGTAAATAAGTTCAGTCCAAAGATTATTGTCCCTGATAGATCAGGGTTATTATAATGAACTAAAACTGAAAACCATAAAAAAAGCGTAATCATTTGAAGTAAAATCAACATTAACTGAAAAAAAAAAAATACTTTATATAATACTTTATTTCAGCTAATTGCCAAGGCATCATTTCTCATTTTACTTTAATTTTAATTTGAATGAAGTAACTAAAACTGAAATAAACTTAATACATATACATGAAAAAAAGACAAACACCCAGCAAAATTATTAACAGTAACTAAAATGAAAATGGAAAAACGGTGTTAAAATATATTAAAACAGATTAAGAATATTGGTAAAAACTGTAATATTATTTCAGTGATACTAAAGTAACCCTAGTCTGGATTCACTTGAATGTTACATTACGTCTAATGTTCAACTTTTTCCCACAAAAGAGCCTGGCCAAACACAGCCGAAGAAACATTGGTGCAGAAGGCGGACCTCCTCCATTCGTTCCCTTTGGACAGGTCAGAGCTCCTTCAGCTTCTTTCATTGTGACCTTTGGCCTTCTGGTTAATTATGAGGTTGATTTGACTCTGATTGAATGGATGGTGTATAATCTGTCGTCATCTCTCTGTAGAAATGTGCTCATAAGGAGCAGGTGGACAGCAGCGCTCTGGATCAGAGGAAGACCCTGCAGAGCACTAACACGGTCAAATCTGCTGAAGACAACGATGAGTTTGAGAAACAAAGAACCGCTGCTATCGCAGAAGTCGCCAGGAGTAAAGAGGTGTGCTGTCGTCCTTAATGATTATTATGAGACATTTAATAATATTAACAGTTAGCCCACCATATGACCATATGTTTAAAGATGCAGTTCTTGTGAAATTAATGTACACTACGGTTTGATTTTTAAAGAAGTCTCTTCTTTGCTGCATTTATTTGATAAAAATACTGTAAAAAATTTGGAAAATTATTACAATTTAAAATAGTTGTTTTCTATGTGAATTATATTTTAAAATGTAATTTCTTCCTGTAATGCAAAGCTGAATTTTCAGCATCATTACTCCAGTCTTCAGTGTCACATGATCTTCAGAAATCATTCTAATATGCTGATTTGCTGCATTTCTGATTATTATCGTCAATATTGAAAACAGCTGTTGCTTCATATTTTTGTAGAAACTGTAATGCATTATTATTTAACAGTCTGATTTCAGTAATTTAAAAAGAAATATTAAAAATTAATACTTTTATTCCACAAGGACCTATTAAATTGACCAAAAGAGGTAGTAAAGACAAAAATTCAGATTAATGTTTATTAATCTTTCTATTCATCAAAGAATTCTCAAAAAATAAATGTTACATTTTAAAATATATTCAAATATGCAACTTTAAATTTGCAATAATAATTTACATTATTACTGTTTTACTGTATTTTTGAGCAAATAAATGCAGCCTTGGTGAGCAGAAGAGACTACTTTCAGAAACATGTTAAAATCCTAATTATTCCAAACTTTTGACTGTTAATGTACATAAAACCAGATTTCAGTGTTTTGCACTGTACAGAGATAATGGCTTTTCATTTCAGAATAAATATGATTTTCATCCCCTGCAACAAAGTAGCACCTTTTGATAATGAAATATTGATATATTAAAGCAATATGTAATTGAATTTGTTCGTTCTCATGACTGCGTCCTTAGGCCATGGGTGAACTTAATATTCTCCGATATTTAATTAAGAAATGTTTGATTTTGAGTGTGTAATTACAAATGTAACGTGATAAGTGAACACCACATAAATGATTAAACGCTTCGTCTCCGCAGCACCTGGGCTGTGTTTCAAAACACACTTATGATGTCCAGAAACATTGTTCATTTTGCTGTAGTTGTGCCCTTGTAAAATCAGTTCTTAAATTGCTGGAGATGCACCAATGTCTGGTGTTTTTCATCGTGCATCTGTTGTCTGCTCTTTGGTTCGTGATAGACGCGTACGTTCGGCGGTGGAGGCAATGCAGGCGGAAACCTCGCCAATCCAGGATCCACCTACAAGAACCGAGACACCTATCAAAGAAGACGAGAAGAGGGAGAAAAGCCGTGGACGGAGAACAAGTCGGAAGGAGTTTACAGAGATTTGGTGAGATCCAAAGATCATCATAAAAAGATGTAAAATTAGTGCTTTGTCAGCAGTTTTAAGTTCTTCCTCATGAAATGAACTGTTAAAGCTGTAAAACCCGGGAGAAGATCCAAAAAGACTGAACGCAATTATAATAACTTTAGATCCAACATATAGTTCAGTAAAATATGAATTTTGTTCTGCAGTCCTCACTGAGAACAAAATAGCTGTGGTTTAATCACTTATTAGTTGTCTACTGACTTTCCAAAACCAGTGAGTTAAAATGCATCATTACTAGATTTAGTGTTGTTACTTTAGTAAGCGATCACATGGGTGGATGATAAAACAGGCCAAAACACTTTAATGCATCATGATGGTGAGTTTTACACTGACATGCATACTGTATTTTCTTCATGAAATGTAAAAATGGGGATGTGTCGCATGGATGAGAAAAAGCCGTCTGGGAATCTGAAAAGAGAGATTTTATGAATCTCAAATTTTTTGGTGTTCTTGAAAGACCTTTTATACTCTCAAAGACTGCATTTATTTGATTACAAAAACAGGAATATTGTGAAATATTGCTACAATTTAAAATTAGCGTTTTCTATGCGAGTATATTGTAAAATGTAATTTATTGCTGTGATCAACTGAATTTTCAGCATCATTACTCCAGTCTTATTATTATGAGACATTTAATAATATTAACAGTTAGCCCACCATATGACCATATGTTTAAAGATGCAGTTCTTGTGAAATTAATGTACACTACGGTTTGATTTTTAAAGAAGTCTCTTCTTTGCTGCATTTATTTGATAAAAATACTGTAAAAAATTTGGAAAATTATTACAATTTAAAATAGTTGTTTTCTATGTGAATTATATTTTAAAATGTAATTTCTTCCTGTAATGCAAAGCTGAATTTTCAGCATCATTACTCCAGTCTTCAGTGTCACATGATCCTTCAGAAATCAGTATAATATGCTGATTTGCTGCTCAAGAAACATTTCTGATTATTATCAATGTTGAAAACAGTTGTGCTGCTTCATATTTTTGTGGAAACGGTGACACATTTATTTTTTCAGGATACTTTGAATGGAACAACATTTTATTTATTTTTATTATTGTAACATAACTGTCATTTTAATGAATTTGAATGCGTCTTTGCTGTATAAATGTATTACCTATTTTTCTATTTCCTTATTTTTAAAAAGTACTAAATCAATCTGACCTCAAACTTTTGAACCATATACAAGGAGAAAATCATGGAAAGTGCTTCATTTAGACTTTGAAAATAGGGGATGAACATTTCTGTATACGTTTTTTTTGCTAATGGATTTTTGCTAATGGATTCAAACATATCAAGTGCTCCAAAATTGTATGATGGACTTTGTTACAATTAAATGCCATTATTTCTCTGGTAAAGATGAATCTATTGCTGATGTAAGCACCGATGTGACCCCTCTGTGTCTGTTTTGTTTTTGATTGCAAGGCAAAATGTTTTTTGTGCTTTCTATTCGCTACATCTGTTCTTTTGTCCCTGATTTTAATGCATTTTTTAATGACCCTCAAGTTCATCAAATTCCTTTCTGCTGTTTCATGTTGCTGCTGCTGTCTCTTCAAGGTTGATGAGCGAGCTTTGAGGGACATCATGGAGATGGGCTTTAACCGAGAGGAGGCCAGACAGGCCCTGCTGGATAACAACAATAACATGGAGGTGGCCCTCAACTGCCTGCTCACCGGAACAAACCAGCCCAAAGTGGCCCAGATGGAGCAGAGCCGCCCACCACCTCGAGGTAAAACCTTCAAGCGCTGAGAAAAGAACCAGAAACCTTCAGATCGTTGTCAGATATGCAACTGCTCAGGAAAGCAGGCTGTAGATGTTATAAGAGCAGGGCTGTGCTGGTTGCTTAAACTTGTAGGGTTCATTTATACTCAAGTTTTAACATAAAGGTGAAATATTTCTCATTTATTTAGGTTTATTTAGTGTAGTAAAACCCATTGACGATAATCTGGCATCTCGAAATGATTATTCAGTATTTGAATTGCTGCGTTGCTTGTTTGTCCTTTTAATATGATGGTTTATTTGTTCTCTGGCAGGAAAGGGTCGTGGAAGGGGACGCTCCAGACAAGATGAGGATGAGGAAGCAGGAGGAAGGCCATCTGGGCCCAGCACATTGTTTGACTTCCTGGAGTCAAAAATGGGGACGTTGTCCATTGACGGTACACTGAATTTGTTTTACCTTTTTAAAATGAAAAAATGCTAACAATGAGTGCTTCTTTAAATTTGATAACTGAATTGGCCAATTTTGGATTCTGATATTATAAGGGCCTGTTTTGTCCTTTCAAATAGAAAGTGTGTTGTTATTTATCTGCTATTTTAGTATTTATTAATATTTTAAATTTGTTAATATTTACAATTTATTACTTTGTATTTATTTTTTTATTTTAGGATTTATTAGTATTATACATTTTGTTTAGCTTTAACTTATTTTTTAGTTATAGGTTAAGAAATTTTAGTACTTGATCTTTAAGCTCAAGACAAGACAAGTTTAAGTTTAAAGGGGTCATCGGATGCCCATTTTCCACAAGTTAAAATTTCTCAATTGTAGTGTAAAACAACACCCTGTTTACCCTGTCAAAAACAGCTCTTTTCAGAGCAAGCTGTTTTGTTGCATGCCGCTTTAAATGCAAATGAGGGGCAGTCGTGGCCTAATGGTTAGAGTCAGACTTGTAACCCAAAGGTTGCGGGTTCGAGTCTCAGGCCCGGCAGGGATTGTAGGTGTGGGGAGTGAGTAGGGCTGGACAATAATTCAATATCAATATGTATCGCGATATAATTTTTCAATAACGGTGATATGATTTTTAAACACATTTCCGATATTTCGATATACATTACCAGTTTCCCATACATTTATTTATTTGTGCCGTTTGACTTCGTTGAATAAACATGAGCACTGCACGTTTCAAAATCATATTGTTTTATATGAATGTATCTAAAGGGAATTGACTTGTCTTCAGAAAAGTTTCGATGGCATTTTCATTTGATCTGATAAAGTAGCGTTCATGAGCGGACCTGCTTTGATTACAGCTGTTACTGCGGAAACCACTAGTTTTATCACTCTAAAAGCGCCTCCTGCTGAATGAATGAGTTTTCATTTTAAATAAGCCCGTCTCCAGCAAGGTTATTTTCGTAAACTAAAACTAAGACGAAAACAATTGGTCAAAAAACATTTTCGTAAACTGAAATAAAAAAAAAAAAATCTAAATAAGTTGACGTTTTGGTTTAGGGAAATACCGGGAAATACCCGTAAATGGCGCATCATGCATGTGAGGTTATCTGACGGAGAGACGCAAAGCAGTTGAAAGCAGAGTCCTGCACGGGTCCTGTTAGGTAAACCTGCATCCGCAGTACACAACAGAACACCCGACCCGTTATCCGACAGCAGCCAGCACCAATTTAATTCTGTACCCGACCCGTTTGACAT